CACACACACACACACACACACACACACACACACACATGCACACGCACCCCTTCCACTGCTTGTTTGCCTTTAAACAGAAGATGGAAGAAGGTTGAAAGAAGAGGTGATTGCCATTGCAGTTCCCGTTCTCAATTATATTCGATATTTGAAATCCTACTTTCTGTGCTAGGTTTGGCTCGCTCTCGTACGCGCCACAAACCTATGCTTTCTCTTCTGGAAAGGAAGGAGGGGAGGAAGAATGGAGCTGCCTACTTTTTTGCTTACCCTAATTCTGTGCAAACGGCAACTTTCTTGCACCCAGCATAAACTGCCGAACTGCCGAGTGATAGAAAAGTCCTCCGGGTTGGAGCCTGCGACCTAGTGTGTGTCATGGGGTGTGGGGGGCGGCAGAAGTGAGCTGACCGGTCAGCTTGTGCTGACAAAGACACGGCCACTAGGAGCGCGGCCTGAGCAAACGTAGAGGCTTTCCATCAGTCGCATGCTGTCCTAGATCAATCGGAAGGAAGCGTCAAGGATGGTGGATCACCAGGAGTTTGTCTTCGACAGGCATAGGTTAGGCATGGGCAAAGTGAGGTCCTGTTCTGATGAGGAGCTGGACAAGAAGGTGCGGCAGTGCAGTCGAAACTATGCAAGGGACATTTTGTCAGAGAGGCCTATGACTGTTCCAATCAGCAGACCAAGGCCACAAATGGCAGAGAAAGCGGTCAACCGGCCAGAGGAGTACACTTGTTCGATGAAGAGCAGCTTAGGTGTGGAGGGACTGAACGCAAAGAAGATAGCCGGACGTGAGAAATCTGCAGCCAATAATGTAAGGGCAAGAAAAGCTGCGAGTGGGAGAGTGATCGGTGAGACCTCGCCCACAAGGTTTGTTGATCGTAGAGCTGATCCGCAGGCTGACCCGCTGCTGCAGGTGTTGCTGAACGATACCCTGAGTACCCGACATCACCAAGCAGTGCTCGTCTCTGAGGCCGCACAGGCAAACGGAGCCAAGGCCGGTCCTCCGAGATCATTGCTACAGTCACTACAGCAAGTGGTATGTAATGTGGCCGGAAGCTCCAAGCTGAGATCCATGGCAGAGAAGTGGATAGGCCGTGATCAACCGCTGACAACGGCTACTGCCATCAAGGCAGTCGATGGTCAAGATGAAAACAATGGTGACAGGATGATGGGGTCAAAAAGGCGGGGGCTGCATGGCGATGGACCGACGGGTGCACGAGGAGAGGCCCAGGAAACAGGAGTGAGTGACGCCGGAAAATGGGGCACGATAGGTCGGGAGGGGGGCGCAAAGAAGGCAATTACCGACATCAACTGGGGACTGAACAGCAGAGAACCGTGTCGAAAAGGAATGTGCGGTGGTGGGAATGGTCAGAGAGCTGAGGGACGGAGAGAGGTAGGGGGAGGCGTGGAGAGAATGGCCGGCGGTTGTACAGCAAAGTGGTCTAAGCCGAGCAATAACGAAGCCAAGGGAAGGGGGGAGGCAGCCCATAAGGATGTTTGTCGTGATTGTCACAACTTAGATGGCAGAGAGCCCTGTCGAGGGGGAGAGGGAGAGGGAGAGGCTCGTGAGACTGAAGATGGAAATGCAGGCCCTGCACTCGGCCTGAAACAGCATCACACGGTTAGGCCAGTAGACGAGAGTGTTCCGCTGGAAAAGGCCACCGGGGTTGGGAGGTCTGTGCTCCCTCCGACTGCCGACTTGCTGGAAGTATGCGGCGAAATCAACGAGAAGTTGAGCAGATTTTCAGTGTTGTCGCATGCTCGTAAGAGTGTCCCAGTAGTAGAAGGAGGGTGCGTGCGGGACCCAGGAGCCACTCCTGGAATTATGTCTCCTTTGGTTTCACCGGTGGCATCCCGACCAGGTGTAGCTGGCCCATCATCGTTGCGGTTGGGGGCCGTCGGGCGGCTGAAGGTGCCAAACAGGATGGAGGAGGAAGGGGAAGGAATGGGTACAACATCTGTGGCAGGAGTAGGTGGAGCAGGTCAAGCGTGGCCTGAAACCAGACCCCACTGTGCACCAAAAGTAGATAACGTGGATGTTATTCATGACTCCATTGATGACTTCTTGACAGAGAATTGTCTGTCTTTCGCTGTTGCACGATCCCGTTCTTGGAGTAGGATGCTCTACGCTCTGAGGGAGGCTCCTCCCTCGTTTCTGCCACACTCGTGTGAGACTCTGAGAACGATGCGGGTGGCACGGACCAAGGAAAGGCTCCTCAAACGGCTGCCGACCATCATGGACCGTTGGGACTCGACTGGTTGTATGGTTCATTTGGAAGGGTGGAGGGATGGATTTGGGCCGCATCTCGATGTCATGATCTCGTCCCCGGTCGGAACCGTGTTCTGGAAATCGGTCAGAATGGGGGATCAACTGAAAGATGCCACAGCGATCTTCAGCATTTTGCAGGGTGTCATCCAGCAAGTTGGCCCGCAGAAAGTCGTCGGTGTTTTGATGGACAACGCTCGTGTGTGCAAACTTGCCGGGAGGATGGTGCAGGAAGAATGGCCCCATATATTTCCTGTCCCTTGCCTTGGACACTCTCTTGACTTGTCCCTGCAGCAAATTGCGAAGATCGAATGGGTGCAGTCGATCCTGTGCGGCGCAGACCGGCTCGTCACTTTTTTCACATCGCATCCGAAGGTCGTTGACGTCTTCCGGAGTTGCTCCAGGGGCAGAAGGCTGACAAAACCCAGCAGGACCGGAGTTATTGCCGCCATGGTACCGTTCAAAACCTTGCATAACCTGGTGGAGATGAAGGATTGCCTGTGTCTGACTGCAGTTTCGAGTGGATGGAATCGGGCGATGGTGTCCCCTGCCCTCCACGAGGAATTCCTATGGGCGACAGAACAGGCCCTGGACACGAGTGGGTTCTGGAGCTCGGTCGAGAAGGTTCACTCAGCAACGAGGACAATCATCCAGGTCCTTCAGATGACAGATCGCAGGCCGCTTTGCTTGGGGGAGGCTTATATGTGTATGGATTTCGCTGTCAAGAGTGTTCGCACAAATCGAAAGCTTGCCGATAACGAGAAGACCCAGGTGCTGCAGGTGTTGATGAGGAGGTGGGAAGATGCGATAAGTCCCCTCCACTGTGCCGGTCATTTCCTGAACCCCGAGCTTCGTGTTCTCAACAAATGGACTCGCGATGATGAAGTCATGCCTGGTCTTAATGACTGGGTCACGTCATGGGCAGCGAACAAAGCAGAGGTTGCTGAGGTGGAGCACGAACTGGGCCGGTATCTCAACCTGCGCGGAACGTTTGGACGGGAGCAAGCCAAGCAGGCAGCACAGACGTTGCCTGCGCACAGCTGGTGGTACAATCATGGCCAGAGCGGACCGGTCCTGAAGAGACATGCGCAACGATTGCTTGGACAGGTGTCCTGCATGTCAGTTTGCTCCCTAAAGAAATGGAGGTTGTTCCAGCAAATTCATTCCGGTGGTGTCGAAGGTCTTGCGGGGGAGCAATTATCGGATGTTGTATTCAACAGGTGGAACATGCACCTACTAGAGGACGCAGGGGGCGAGGAGCAGAGGTCGCAGCTGCATGTTCTTTGGGAAGAGGACACAAAGAGTGGTGCAGTCCGTGACGAGATGGAGGTGGAGGTGGAGGTAGATGAAGCACAGAGAAAAAGGAGACCAGTAGTGCAGGAAGTGGGAGAAGGTGGTGACAACGACGAGGATGACGAGGGAGGGAGGTTCTCTGAGGTTCAGCCGTATCGGCTCACGAACACAGGCGAGGAGGACAAGGAGGAGGAAAAGGACAAGCTTGATGAGGACATGGAGGGGCGGTCTGGGTTTCGGACGTTGACGAAGCCTGGCATGTACATGGCAAGCATGAGAGCTCGCCTCCATCCGTGCCGAGCCAGGGAGGACTGGGATTGCATTTTGAAGCTTGAGAAGACCCGCGAAGACATGGCCAGGGGCAAGGCAGCTGAGCGAAGGAAAGAAGTAGATAAAGAAGTGTCGGGGGTTGTGCCAGGGGTTGTAAAGCAGGAGAAGGAAGAAGGCACACGGATGGATGACGGGGGCGGTGGCGGCAAGGACACAACGTGTGTCGGTGAGACAGGCAGCGTCAATCATCCCATTCCCACTCAGGCACAGGTTGCCAATGGCGCTGCTGGCACTGTTGGTGCCGGTGCTGCTACTGGCGGTGGTAAGACACAAAGGTTGGTCAGCAGTGAGGACATGGGTGTCGAAAAGGATGGGCATGGTGTGCAAAGGCGGAGGTCGACAGGAGACGACAATGCTGCAAATTTGAAAAAGTACGTTCGGAGAAGGAGGGTCACAACGCCAGAGAAAGTTATGGATGTGCCATTGCCGAAGGAGGTTTCGAACACAGCAACTATGACAGGTGTGTCAGTGGCTGTGCCTGAGCAAAGTCAACCGTTGCGGCGCTCAGCAAGATGCAAAGAAAAGCGTGATGCGCATGTAGACTTTGAATTCTTTCTATCTGAAGATCAGGAGGATGACACAGGTGCATTCCAGAAGCCAAAGCGGCGAAATAGGCGGCTGACTAGTTAGGGCCTACCTAGCGTGATAAGCACGATACCAGCCAATCGCTCCTTACGACTGGGCTCAACTACCAATATCTATGCTACAAACAGTCCCAGAGCTGATGTTCGTTAACCACCACCTGTACTTCCTAAAGTTGTGCCCGTTAACAAGCCACAATTTTAGGAAACGTACGGGCCACTACAGGAGCGCCCAAATTCATCCGACTAGAAACGTTTCTACTCTGTTTTTTTTTCCCTTGGCCGATAGCCGGGCCAAGTACTGGTCGTTTTATGGCCATATATAAACAGGGAAGTCCAGCAGACTGCGTATGGATGGACAGTTGCCCGATAGCTGATATAGCTGGCAATAGCAAAGAAGCTCTTATACTATGGCCAAAGCCTTAGTATAGCTGGGTGGTACTTGGTATAGGTGAATACCATGGTCAGAGCCTTAGTATAGCTGGGGACTTGAAATAGCTGAGCAGCAGCAGCTCTAGCCAAGCAGCTGTTACAGCCAGATAGCGCCGACCATCGAGATCGAGTTTTCCTCCACAGTCATAGACATGGTCTGATGCAGAAGCAGCTGCAGGAGTTAGTTCCAGCTCCTGTGTTTTTCATGCAAGGAAAACATGAACCTGGCATGAACCTGGTCTCAGGTTCATTCCAACTCACCACAAACATAGCATCCTTGGGGCCCAGGAACATTGGTGTTACAGGAGGAAAACATGTTTACGGAAGGGGGGTGGGGCGACGGGTGATGCGTGGGGAGAAGCGGCGTTTCAGCTGTGGACAAAGCAGTCATACATTTTGCTGTGTGCTTCCCTCCTTGCGCTTTAACAAGGTTAGACTAGTGACAGTTAGGACAAAGAGGTGAAAGTCATGACACCGTAAGACGCGCTCAATGTGTAGCGCCTTTTGAGTGTCAATGCATTAGATTCGTGATATTGGTTTGAAGTTCGAACTTCGAAATTGTAACGAGCAAATGTGTGTGTGTGTGTGTGTGTGTGTGTGTGTGTGTGTGTGTGTGTGTGTGTGTGTGTG